AGAAGTGTTCCTCTTTCCTCATAGCCCCTCTAGAATTTGCTATTTGTTGATTTGAAAGTATGTTAATAGCCATACTTTCTGAAGTGAGATGGAACCCGAGTGTTGTTTTAATTTGCATTTCTCAAATGACCGGTGATGTTGAACATTTTTCATATATTTATTTGCTGTTTGTATTTCTTCATCTGAAAAGTGTGTATTCACCCCAGATGCCCATTTTTGGATTGGGTTTTCAAATTTAGGGTGTCTGATTTTTTTCAATTCTTTATGTGTTCTAGATATTAGTCCTTCATCTGAGGAACAATTGGCTAACATTTTTTCCCACTGATACTCTTATGTTTCACTTTTAGGATTTCCATTTATTTATTGTTTATGGTTTCCATTTCTTTGCTGAAATTTCCTGCCAAGTTGCATATTTCCGAGTTTTTCCATCATAGACTTTTTTTTTTTTTTTTGGTTTTTCTCCGGTACCGGGAACCCAACTCATGACCTTGTGCTTGCCAGGCAGGCACTTTTGCCGCTGAGCTAAATCCCCAGCCCCTCCATCATAGACTTTAAAACATTTATTATATTTTATTATTAAAGTTTTCTTAAATTCTCTGATAGTCTCAGTGTCTGTATAGTGTCACATGATTGTCTTATATTTATTATGCATTTATTATGGTTCTTTTGGTTGCTCAGGCAATGTGCTTCTTTTTCTTGCTTTTTCATATCTCTGGTAAAGTTTCTGTTTAAAACCAGATATCTCGTATAGGTTAGTAGGTACTGCAATAAATAATTTTTATGCTTGAAGAGGAGCACACTATTCTTTGCTTGGTCTTCAACTTGGGGTATTTATTACGATCTGTTAGGAATTAGGTTTGGGGTCTGTTGTTGCCGTTTCCCTCAGTACATTCACTGCAGGTTTAAAATTCTTCAAGTGCTACCTTGTCTCTTGGATAGAGGTTGGTTTACCAGGACCGTTGTTTGCTTGTGTTTGTTTGTTTGTTTGTTTGTTCTATTTTGCTTCACCATTAGGTTTGTTTCTTTCCACTAAACTTGAGAGAGAAAAAGATTCTTACATTTGTTAGCCTGGTGGTGGAGAGCTTTCTCTGTGATCTGATAAAGCGTCTGTTTTAGCCAGGCACTGTGCCCACGTGTCTTGGAACTTTTGGCTCTTTCAGGGCTCCCGTCTCTCTTCCAGTTGTAGTTCTGGGCCTATAACTTTATTTCCACCCCTTCTTTAGGCCAAGAGGAGATTTTTAAATTGGTTTTTGTTTTTTCTGTGTATATATTTCTAACTGCAATGGATGTTTCAGTAGTTCCCTAGGTGTAACAGTAATTGCTACACTTTCCCCCACATACACATATTTTAAGGTCTTTTTTTTTTCCATAGGAGAGAAGGATCTGGGTGACATTTTGTGTCTTTCCTGCAGTGGCTGCAGTTTTCTGTCCCAGGCTTGTACTGTGAGGGGCATTTCCTCAAGATCTTTGGCAGTCTTTTCTAAGAGCACGTTGTGCTCTCTGTTGGAATAACTGTGAGTAGAAAATTCCCTTAATGTCTTCCTGCTCAAAGAATCCTACAATGTAGCCTACATTTTTTCTTTGTTAATTTAAAAACTTTAGCTGATTTCTTTTTACTAGTGGCAAGCTTCATCTGCATTAAAGACACAAGTGTTGGTTTCTTATCCCTTCCATGAGCTCAATTTTCTGATGGGTCAAAAAAGTTGTATATTTGGAGTTTGGCTTATTTGTTGCTTTTTGTTTGTTTGTTTTTTGGCTGTAGGAATGGGACTTATGCTTCAACCAGTTTCTTACATCTTAGGCAGAAATTAGGAAGTCCTCAGCATATACATTTTTGGTTATAAAAGTAATGTAAGGGAAAAAGGGTAAGAGATATATAGCCGTAGTGAATTATTGTTGAAGCAAGGTGATGGTTTCATAAGAATTCAAGATAATATGTTTTATACTTTAATATATGTTTGGCACTTTCTATAATTCAAAAAGTTAAAGAAAAACTAATTAGTAACACTATGATATTAAAAATGATGTCCAGGCATGGCGGCACACGCGTGTATAGTATCAGCACACTGAGAGGCTGAAGCAGGAGGGTGGAAAATGCAAGCCCAGCCTGCGCAACTTAGTACTACCCTGTCTCAAACTAAAAACAGGTGGGAACATAGTCCAGCACGAAGGTCCTGGGTTCTGTCTCTAGTACCATAATTCTGTCCTCTGAATAGCATTCTTTGGGTTATGCTTTCTGCCATACTGCTGTTCCTTGGATATAGTTAAAGTCTAAGTGTAAACATTATGTACTGCAAACGTGTACCAAAAGAGAAGGAAGAGGACCGAGATATGGTTTGAGGAGTGAAGAAGGTGAGGGAAAAGGGATGAAACAAGGAACTAAGATGTATCAGGTGTGTGTACCAACTTCCCACAAGGAATGTAAACATCACACAGAACACACATGTACTAATAAACGAAAATAAAATACATTTAAAAAACCACATCTTCCAAGGTGTCATATATCGAAGGCTTTGTCATGATGGACAGGTGGTGTGGAACCTTAGAGAGATGCTGCCTAGGAGAAAGTAATTAAGTCGTTAGGGGTGCTCGGCTCAGAAAGGATTAAGGTGATTCGCATGGGACCCTGAGTGGCAGTACTGCCTGTGAGAAGGGTTATTATAAATGAACAAGGCTTGCTCCTCCATTTGATTTTCTTTTTCACCGTATGACCTCCTTCCTCCTTCAAGCGTGGAACCCCTTGTATAACACAGTCAGCCCTCCTGAGTAATGAGAGACCTTCCTCCTACCATATGACCTCTTCCTCCTACGGCTCCTGCAGTGATGATAACCTTCCTGATGCGATGCGGCCAGGGGCACCTTCACCAGAGCCAGTACCACGCTGTTTGTACCTTACATCTCCAAACCTACATCTCCAAACCTACACAGGTTTAGATACTTGGTCATGTCAGTGGAAAACAAACTAATAATATACCATTGACAATAGAGGTCAAAAGTCAGTAGACCTCCTGTTCTTTTTCAGTGTATTCCATTTGGTCTTATAGATAAAAATATCTAGTTATACTGTTAGCCTTTAGGTATGCATGAATTTTTCCTCAACTATATTATAAATTCTTTCAAAGAAGATATAGCTCACGTTTTTGATTCTTTATAGTTTCTGAATTATTGAGCAGAAGGTATCAGTTTAAAACATACTTAATAAAGAAATTTTAAAAAGCATCACTGATGTATGTACTCTATTTTCTAGTTTGGTCTGTGTGTCAATATGAACAATCTCAAAAAGTATAAACACAACAGCGAATTTGCTATGTAAATTGAATAGGAAAGATATTTAATGTATTATTGAATATGTAAAATTAATCTCTTCCTTTCTTAATTTCTTCCTTATGTTAAGCCCAATAAATTTTATATTAAGGTTATCAGCTATAATTTAATAGGAAATTCACTCTGCTGAAGTTGAACAGTCTTGAGCTTTGACTTCTAGCACTACCCTAACTAGTTAAATGGCCTCAAGTAAATAGTTGTTCATTATTCAATCTATCAGTCAACAATATCTGTGGAATATGTACCACATGCCAGATATTGTGTGAGGTAATGTGTAAATAGCTTAAATAGCACAGCAGAGAGATGTATGTTAGCTAAGTAAACACACGAACTGATACTACTTTCAGATATATTTATTTTTATTTATATTTACTTCATGCTTTTCTTTTTCTGAAAAGAGATCTTTTCCAAAAATATTGAAAAAAGAGTGAAATATATAGCCAGTGCCTACCGCTGGTCAAGACAGCAGCTCCTGGGAACGGAAGGCTTCAAGCGTGAAACCCCTTGTATAACACAGTCAGCCCTCCTGAGTGATGACAGACCAACAGCTAAATGAGGACTGGAGCTCAGTGTATAAAGGCCAAGCACTGGCACAGGTTCACTAACACCCTAGTCACAGGGACTGTAAACTTTCCTCGATTAAGTTCATTGAAAGGTACATATCTGAAAGCAATACGGTATTAAATGCAAGCACTGAGGACCTGAGAGCTGCTTTGTCTTGTCTAAAGAAATGAGAAAAGAGCAAAAAATTATTTTCCTGCATTAAAGCTAAATCCAGATTTACTTTAATGGATTATATTAAATTTTAAATTTAAATATAATTTAAATTTAGCATATGATGTCCTTGGCAGCCTCTTAAAAGTTTTCCTAAACAAAGGTCTTTGGATAATAACATTCTGAACAATAAAAGGAAGTATGTTTCAACATGGATTTTTTAGGTAGTGAGCACTTCAGTAGGTCTCACTTTTACAGTCTAATATTATTTTTATAGATATGCAGTTTGAGGATTTTGTAAAGATTTATTTAAAGAACATTTATTGGACTGAAAAAGATGACGTAAATCCAGCAATAATTTCACCATTGTTTGAAGTCTGTTTCTTTTGTTTTGTTTTGTTTTTGGCTTTGAGAGAAAATCTTTTGCTCAAGACATTTTCAATGACTTGAATATAATAATTTATGTAATTCAATAACTCAAAAATTTTCAAATGGTCATATAGTTCCATTCAGTAGGCATACTATGTGTTGATTTAATGGCTCTTGTGGGCACTATTTAACTTAAGAGCCATTCATCTACATGAGGAATTGTTGGAATTTCCCTTTCTCCTAAGCTTTAAATAGAATTTTCAATGACATTTTTTTTACAGTCACACTGAACAGAATATTTTGGAGTCCTTATAGCACAGACTGCTACAGACATCCAGGTTCTCATTAATGGATCAGACATTGCCACACAAACAAATTTAACCCAGATGGACTTGTGAAACTCGCAACTTTTCTTGTCTCACAAATTGTGAGAAAAAGAACCAGCCATTACCTTAAAAGGGTGGACTCAGAAAATCCATGAACTTCTTCGATCAGACATAACTGACACTTGCCAAGCAGTTGCTGGGCAGCCAGTGTTGCCCGGAGAGTAATTGTTTGACAGAATAGGGAAAAAAATTTGGCATCTGCTCCACTGTGAAGCCTGAAGAGGCACAGTAACATGTTGGTGAAGTTCGCGACGACCTATTTGTCCTTTGATCCATCATTACTGCCCTCAAAAATAAGGTAGGACTTTTTTTTTGCCTGAGGCCATACATCTAGTAAGGGAGAAAAATCATACTTGAGTTCAGTGTCTCCTAACCAAAGAGGATGAGGCTTCATCTATTATGCTTTAGTGACTTTGTACATTCTTTCAATTAATCTACAAATAGTTACAGCACTAGTCATTTTAATGCACCCTGGGTAAGGGTATCCATTACTAACTTCTAAACTTTGAGCGTAATGTACATCAGGTAGAAATCCACCTTAATCACACTAGGCTGATTTTGACATTGTTTGGTAATATTGGACCAGTAGACTAAGAATTTCTGAAATTACCAGTAAAATACCTCTTTTCCCTGCCAGTTCTCCAGATGCATTATGTATACATACAATCAGAAACAAGTATCTAGTATACATGGGAAGTGAGGGAGATGTTTAGACTACCCCAAGCCAAAATCTATTGGTGTTCATTCATGAGAACAGGAAGCAAAGAAACTGAGACATGATAGAACATAACCATTTAACACACAAGCAAACATGGTATAACCATTTTTAAGCAAACAACTGGATTATAATATATTCTTCTTGAATTGAAGAAAGAGAAAGGAGGAGGGATATTCCTTTCTTCCAATGAGGTACTAAAAATTTTCCTCTCTCTAATGGGTTATAAATAATGTTATCATAGTCATCAGTGATAAGAAAAGAACAGTGAGTCACACAACTTCAATGAGTAGTAGCATGGTAAATGAAAGCTAGTAGCATAAATCCAGATTCTCCCACTTCCTGTCCCTCTGTACAAATTAGTCATACAACCTGAACAAGTTATTTAACTTTGAGCTTTACAATCTCATTTTGAAATTCAGAAATTTTATGAACTAATATTTAAGCTCTAGGAGTCTGTTACTAAGAAAATATATCAACAATCTATGAAATAGAGACCCTGAAGTAATGCAATATTCACAGTATCCTAGTGCCTCTTTTTAGGAAGTTGCTATTGCATCCACACTAAAATAATGGAAGAAATCTCTAAAATTTACCAACTGATAAAAACGATGTAACTAGATTTTGTAGGGACATCATCATTCTCCATGTTAAACACTAAGTTGACAGTTTTCAAAGTGTAGTGTTATTCAGTACTCTATTATCAGAGAGATTCTATACAGAGATCTTGGGATCCAAATGCAGACCACATCGTCCAATCCCAGGGGATAATAGCTCAAGATTCTGATTCCCTGGGGATAGTTCAAGCCCTACCATCAAGATGGAAAAGCTGTGCCAGGGGTATAGCTTGGTGGCACAAGTCCCTGACTGGCAAAGCACAAGGTGCTCAGCTCAATTCCTCATACAAAAAAAAAAAAAAAAAAAAAAAAGAGTAAAAAAAGGAGAAGCTCTGATATACGCCAAAAATGCATCCCAATATAAAGAGTGGAGCTTTAGGTATAAAGAGTGAAAAAAGCAAACCTCCTTTTCTACTTCTGTTACAGTAACTTTGAAATTACTTCCCTCTCTCTCTTCACACCCATAGCGCATGCTCTTGGTGCTAGGTGAAGAAGTTCTTTACTAGGTTGGTGGATCCAGGTCCTAGATATTATGAGTATTGGCTGCAAAAGAAACACAATGGCTTGCTTCTCTAGGCAATTGCCCTTGACCAAATAGGAGTGGGAGATTCTTCTGTGCCTCCTAAGGGGTAGCCAGTGGTTATGATTGACTGCCAGCTAGAGATTCAAAAGACCAGACTGCCCTTCTTGCCTTTTGAGCACAATTCTTCGCTGCACTTTCCCAGGGCATCCCTATAGAACCAGGCTGGTGCTAGTTTCCAGACTAAACAACTTCCTTGCTAAGCTTTCTTCTTTGACCTAGTGTACTTCTTAATTCCTTTTCTTATGAGATACTCTGTCAATAAATCACCAAATAGGAATCCCCATCTAGGTGCTATGTGTACAAAACCCAGCCAAAAATATACCTATGGTATACCTGGAGCCATCTCCCAGTTTAGAGTAGAGGCCTCCTTCCTCAATAGTGTCTCTAGACCAGAGGTCCAAGGAAAGGATGCCTGAGGTTCATCCTTCGGTTCTCTTTTCATGTATCTTCTCATTTAAGGAAAATGATCCAAAAGGGTGAGGTTAGGAGACTCAGATATGGACCCAAAGAAATAAGGTCAAGAAATCAACTTGATCTCTCAGTAAAATCTTATACCAAATAAGCTCTTATGTAGTACTCACTTTCATTCAACGTAAAAGGAGACCACATAGAGATTTGGAATTCAAATTCTGTCTAATAATTTGTTAATGTGTATTTACCTAGAGGATCTTTGAATACTAATTCTTCCTGTAATTATGAAACAGCAGGAGTGGCTGGTTAGAGTCTGTTGAAACCTGGCCAAATCTGGTATCTAGAGGTAATTAAAACTGACTACTGCCCAAATCAGGCAGTACACAATGTAACATAACTTTACACATAGGGCCCTTGGACCAACTCAGTGGTTTCTTATGATTCATTGCCAAGCTTGTGATTGGTTTACTGATACAATTGGGGAGAAAAATACCATGACTAGGGTCCCTAGGGAAGCATAGACTAGGAACAGATAGAGTTAATGTGTCTCCATCTGTTTTTTATTTTTCTCCAGCCCACTCTGTCAGCCTCTACAAAATATTCCCATGTGTTCCTGGGTACTGCTGAGCAAGACATCTGGAAGCAAGCATCCTTGTTTTTCAACCATGATAACAATAGAGGAATTAGAAAAATTATGTTAAATGTTTCATTTTTCTGATGGGGAAAAGATCTCTAGCCATGAGAGTTAAATTCAGGTCAGTACTGGAAAACTGTTGTTTTCCACAAGTCTTGTCCAAATATACAGGTCCAGTTCTCAAGCTTTTAAAGGGGGTCAGGGTCATGGTACAAAAGGCAGGACTGATCAGGAAGGTTTTGGAATCAAAAAAGCCAAAGCTGAGCAGTATTCTGAGTTAGAGAAGAATCAAGTCAGGGGTTAAGGACCTCCAGGCTACCTCCAACAGATAGAAAACACCAATGGAATTTCTTTTTAAATATCCAAAAAGAGAACATTTGAACAAGTACAACTCTGTTGGAATACATATCCACTTATTTACTTCTGTGTGTTCCGAGATAAGATTATTCCCCAAACTTAGTTTAAACACAATCATAGAGTCATAGGATTTAAACCTGGAGAGGAATTTTATGCTTTTCATGGATAATTCTCTTATTTTGCGTTAAGATTCAAAATACTAAGGAATAGAAGCTAGAATAAGAACCCAGGGCTTCCAAGTTAGAATATTTTGCCCAATACCCTGATATATGACAATGACCAACAGACTATGACAACTGTCCAGAATTAGTTATCATTACCAATGATAACTTTTAAAAAAGCTAAGGTGCATTAACATAGAGACCAGTGAAGTTCATTCTCAATAAAAGTTAGTGTATTCAGCTCAAAAAAAGTTAGTTCTGCCTATAACTATTGTTTCTTACAAATCAAGTAGAACTTTTTCTTGATTATAGCAAAATTCTTATCTAACAAAAAATAGCTTTTCAGTTAAAACAAGAATCTCTGTATTGCTAATAACTTGGTATAAATTATCTGGAGGTCAAAGTCAGAATTCCATGAGACTTCTGGGTAGACAGGGCACAATTCAAGGAAGTGACCAAAAAAGTTCCTAGCCTGAAATTCTGCCATCACCAGAAAAGTAATTTAACACTGAATTTGTAGATCTTCACAACCTTTCCACTGGGAAATAGAACTTGGTTCCCCAACCTTACTACTATTTTGTAAGGACACATGAAGCAGAGTGACTGCCCCAAATAAAAACCCACAAAGGAGTGAATTCATTGTATTTTTGTGCCTGGGGGACAATTGTCAAACATAGCCATGAGTATGAAATTAAAAGTAAACAAAATCCCAAAACTCCACTAGAGCATTATTACTTTTCATTTTGTCCCATCAGAATGGAAGATCTGGACCACCCTCCTGCCATCAAATTAAAATGGATTAATTTGTACTTATTCGGTGTTGCCAGGTAACTCTTCCCTTTTAACTATTCATTAAAAGCTTGCCAGATGTGTAAATTTCACCTTACACCTATATTCTTTCTGCCGCACATTACAAGTCCCCTTTGTGGATTTTAATGGGGATGAAAGCGCAGGTTGCACCTGGGCAGAGCTAAAGCTCAAAGTGAAGGTGTTGGGATTTTCTAGACAGCCAGACATTCATAAGAAGAAAAACAGCAAATTCCATTTTCTTTGCTTTGGAGCGTTGTTTTCGACAACTCCCACTGAAAAGGGTGCGTTTTGCTCACGCTGCTGTCAGCATGCCACCCCGTGGGGGCATGAGCCCTGGGGTCACACAAAGGCCAGGAACAGCCTTTGAGAAACCGATGGTGATATCCCTTCTCTCTGCCCCTCACTCTCCACCCCTCGCCAAACCACTTTGAGAAGGTGTTACATTTAAAGTCTAGCTGGGACTGTTCCTCATCCTTAGTACGCAATGTGTGCACATTAAGGAACTTCCACCCCGCTGGCACTGGAATGTACTTTTTCACTCATTCAATAAACACTGACAGTGTGCTTATAATATGCCAGGCTGTGCTAGGAGCCAGGGATTATAAAAGGATCAGAAAGGCCATGCCCACCTGGAGCTCGGACTCCTTCCACTATAGCAGAGTCCAGTTGCCCCTCTGGGTCTTATGTGTTCATTTATTTCAGGAAGAGCCTCTGCAAGAAGAACTGTTTCATCTTTTTGCTTGCATAGGTCTATATTTAAAATCCCTTCCCCTCTTAGAGGTTTTATTATACCTGAGTATTCCTACTTTGTCATCGCTGAGAACTACGGATGCAGAGCACCATCTGAGTGATTTTGTTGTTCTCGCAAAGGTCTGTGGGATCAAGTACACCAGAGGAAAGTGGTAAGGGGATAGAGCAACTATGAGTCCTGCAATCCCCCATGCCTGAGGAATATCAGAAGTTTGCCTGGACCTCTGAAAACTACCTGAATTGTCTGATGTCATTTCACTAGATTATCATACGACAAGATTTTTTAAAATGTAATCAATAAAGGTGAGCACTTAATGAGGCTTTAGATGTCATCTAGCACAACACTGTTTTTCTAGTGATGAAAAATCAGAGTATAGTATCAAGGTCACACTGACCATAGCAAGCACCAGGATACTGTGGAGTGTTTGTGTTCTAACTTGCTCACAGCTTTAGTTCAGAGAAGGCTTGACTGGAGGACTCTAGAAGCCCAAAAGCCTAGCAGGCAGAGAAAATCTTTTGGAAAGAATGTTTTGGAGAACTTTTGGTATAATCTGCCAAATCTGTGTCTCATAGTTGCGCTAAATATATACTACAATAGAAGTTGCTCATTCCAGGAAACCCTGCCCCAGAAAGTACTTTTGCTGTGACAACTTTCAGGCCATAATTCATGTCTTCTCTTACAGCAGAAAAGAAACATGGAACAAATGGAAGGTGGTCTGTGTTTTACTTTTGATGTAGTGTTCTTCTTTGGGTTTCCTAGAGTTCCTAAAAAGGAAGGCATTCTTTATTCCTAGAATTAAAATACGTATATTTTTTAAAAGCAAAATAATATTGATCTCTTTAGCTGCTGCAATGTTTAATTCAACTTCCCTTTCTCCTGAGCTATATTTTTAAAAACAACCAAAAGAGGGACAAGTGAGGATAGGGATAGAGTCACAAGAAAAAAAGAGACTAAAGAATCCTAAAAGAAATAGAGCTTAGATTTAAAAGAAATCAGGCAGCAGTAATAACAGAAATATCAAGTCTTCCCTTCTGTGTTGATTAATCTTTGCTTTTGTTTTCGTTTTTTATTTTATGAAAAAAGGTAAAACAAAAGTTTATAATAAAATAACAAGAGAATAATAATAGTTAATACATTACATGTTGTTATCTTTAAAGTAGTTGCTCAGGGTACAAGATAAGGGCATGAAAACTTTTCAAATTGATATTAGCACAAACCTTCCTTTTTAATAAACTAGGAGACACTCATAGTATAACTGACTTGAATTTTTTCCCTTTTCCCTACTGTCCTTTCCCCTTTCACCCAAGAATCACCATGATTCTTCCTTTTGAAGAATATTTTCCCATTTCACAATATCTATTGTACATTTTGGACCATATTTATTCTTTCAGTTTCTCATACCAGGGAAACAATATGATGTTTACACCTGTGAGTCTGATTTATTTCATTTATGAGTATGGTTTCAAATTTCATCCATTTACTTAAAAAAGTCTCAAGTTTATCCTTCTTTACAACTGAGTACTCCATTGTATAAAAAGACCACATCTTTTTTATCCATTCCTCAGTTGAGAGGCATTTGGGTTGTTCCCAAGATTTAGTTATGACAAATTGTGCTGCTATATACATGGGGGCACATATATCACTGCAGTATGATATTTTTAACTTTTCTGGAAAGATACCCAGAAGGGGAATAGCTATGTCAGATGGAACTTCCAATCTTAGTTTTATGAGGCATCTCCACACTGATTTCCACAGTGGTTGTACCAGACTACACTCCCACCAGCAGTGGAGAAGTGTTCCTTTTCTGCCCAGTCCCTCCAGCATTTGTTATTGGTTAATTTCTTGATGATGGCAATTCTTTCTGGGGTGAGATGCAATCTCAGTGTTGTTTTAATTTGAATTTCTCAAATGACCAGTGGTAGTGAACATTTTTTCATATATTTATTTGCCATTTGTATTTCTTCATCTGAGAAGTGTGTATTCATGTCAGATGACCAGTTTTTGATCAGGTCTTTGAATTTGGGGGATCTAATTTTTTCAATTCTTTATATGTTCTAGGTAGAAGTCCTGTGTCTGAAGAACAATTGGCTAATTTTTTCCCATTCTGTGGATTGTCTTCTCACTGTTGGTGATTTCTTTTGCTGCACAAAACCTTTTTAATAAGATGAGATACCAGTTGTTGATTTTTTGAAATATTTCCCATGCAGTTTGGGGTTTGTTCATGAACTCTCTGCCTAAACCTATGTCTTCAAGATTTCTATCTATTTTCTCTTCCAGTAGATTTAGTGTTTCTGTTTTAATATTTAGATCTTTGATCCATTTTGACCTAGTTTAGTGCATGGTGATAGACATGGGTCTAGTTTTAGTCTTTGGCATGGAGACAGCCAGTTTTTTCAGCACCATTTATTAAAGAGGTTATCTTCCTTCCATTGAACATGTTGGCCCCTTTGTCAAAGATAAGGTGGCTTAATGTGTTTTCAGTTGTGTCTGCATTTTCTAATCTGTTTGTAGTAATTAATTTTGATTGTCAACTTAATAGGCTTGAGAAAATCCAAGGAGACTGATAAACCACACTTCTGGCTGTGTCTGAATAAGTAAGTTATGGAGACATAAGCACAGGAATTATGTCTGGTCCTTGGTCTCTTCCTCTTCAGCTTTTTTCTTGCTCTCATCTTCCTATGATTAACAGCTTTCCTCCACTATGGTCTTCTGCCATGGTATTCTGCCTCAGACCATTGATTGAAACTTCTGGAACTGTGAGCCAAAATAAACCTTTCTTCCTTTAAAGTGCATATGTCAGGAGTTTTATCCCAGCAGTACAAATCTTACCAATACACCTTATATATTGTTTAATCAACCCATATGTCTTCACAGAGTGTCTTGTATGTTCAAGTCACCATGAGATATGAAAAGATATAACCACAGTTCCTATCTTCAAGAAAAGAAGGTGGAAGTGGCCAAAAGACAGAAAAAGTTTTACATTTTAGGACAATATTCCATAAGTACCAAATGATTCATGCAGATAATAGATAATCAGTTACATCTCACATCTGCCTACATATTTCTCTATAGCTATTGTTTCCTACCTGGTACTTGGAATAGTGTAGAAATGGCCCCTAAATGGCTTTCCTTCATTTTCCTTTGCTTCCTTAAATCTTTTCTTCTCCCACTAGTCAAAGAGATTTTTTCAGAAAGTCCACGTCTACTCTGGCACAGCCATGCTTGAAGTCAGTTAAAGGTCTCCTATTACTTTCAAAGATAATTTCAACATCCTTCATGTAGCCTTTTAGCCCTGAATAATGTGGCCTTGCATTTCCCCTAGGCCTCATCTCTTAGTGCTCTCTCCCTCACCTGTCCCACTCTAGACATCCTTTTCTCTATTCTCAGAAAGCTCCAAGTTCTTACCAGTTTCAGGACATCAGAAGCCACACTGTTCCCTATGACTGGAACTCACAGCTCCTCTTCCCCTCCCACTTCATTCTACTTATCAATCCAGTCACAATTTAAAATGCTATCTCTTCAAGGCGACCTTCTGGGATCTGCCATACTAAAATGTTCTTCCTTTATCATTTCTCATAGTACCTTCCAAATTTCCTTCATATAATCTATTTTAGTTGACTGTGTGCTCCGGAAAGACAAGAATGCCAATCTGCCTCATAGCAACATGACATTTAGTAAATTTCTGTTCACTAAGTATTTTCAAAAGAATGTTTGAACTTGGAGTTTGGAGGAGATATCACAGCACTAGGTGTTAAGGTAGTAGGAAAGATTTACAAAGGTCCTGGGATTAGAGTCATGTCCTGAAGACTAAGAAAGACTGGTAAGTAGAGAGGATAGAAGAAATTATGAACTTCATGTTCAAAGGGGTACTTTGGTCATGATTATAAGGCTGAACAAAATACAGTTCTATTTTTAGGTTAGTTCTACTTCATCTGATTTTTTACAGATAGCAAATAAAGTTTTAAAAAATTAATCTAATTACTTCTTTGACAATAATCCAGACAGATATCGTGACATTACTGTCATCATTTTGCATGTCTAGGCCAACATTTAAATAGAATACTAATATAGATTTAAAGTAGTTTCACCATAGACTTTTAAAGGATTGATTCATAAAAGCAGTAGAGGAGGAGAAAACAGGTAAGGTAAACAAGACATGTGGGGGCAGAGTGAATGTCATTGGTGGGAAACCTTACACATAGTTTAAACTTCTATGCTAGGCAGCTTCAAAAAACATGAATTTTTGAAGCTATTTAATTGACGAGTGG